AAGAGAGGCCACACACAAGTTCAAATTCCGACTCAGCCACCTATCAAGTTGGGGTGTGTTATCTCTCTCCGAGCCTTGGTTTGATCACTGAAAATGGGGACATAGTCCTGCCTGCCCCACAGATGCCTTGAGGTTGGCAGGGGCGAGCAACGAGGGAAGCACGGGTCCCACCTTGTGCTCTCCAGGGGTCAGGGCCCAGCAAGATCAACTGCTATTCACAGGTTCTCTCTTGCACCACCCTCCCTGTCCTCAGAGAGGTTGCTGCCATTAAAGGAGGCAGGCAAGCCTCAGCAAACACATTTAAATCTGAAGTGACAGATAAAGCGATTTACGGGGACAGTTTAGTGTCAGATCACTTCCCACAAGGCAGTTGGGATCCCTCAGCCCCCCACTTGCTAGTCCATCAAGGCGGTCTCTAAATCTCTGACTCTGAGCAGTGGCCCACGGACAGCTAGGGGGCCCTCCAAGCAGCAGAAGGGATGAACCAAGGGTTCAGGCTGGCTTGGGGGAGGAGGAGGCGATAAGCAGCTAGCAGATTTCACAAATCAAAGCCCCAAGACTTAAGGAAACAGAGCACCACTTCATGCCTTATTTTAAATAAATAAGCGGCTTAAAAAACTCCCAGTGAAGCCAGCTTGTCGCTGCAAGACATGGCTGCCCACCCATTCTGCACATCCCGGCCTGCATGCCAGGGGCCCCTCAAAGGCCTCACTGACCTGCCTTGCCTCCTGCCACCTCCTTGCAGAATTAATTGGTCCCTGTGGTGTCGCGTGGCACTTGGTTCAGACCTCGCTTCTAGTGCCCTGTCACATTATATTCTACTTAGTTGTTCTCACTTTTAGCTTCCCAATAGTAATTTACCAGGGGCTCACTATGTGCCAGGTCCTGGGTCCAGTGCTAGACAGGCCTGAACTCATGTGCCATCCTCATACCACCCTGGGGTAAAGCCAATGAAGATCCATTTTTCCAATGAGGAAAGAGAGGCTCAGAGGTAGCAGCACCACCAGGTGGAACCGTAGGATACCAACCAGGTTCCTGGCCTATGTGGCCAGAGCCCTGACTCACTGGCCTGGCACAGCTTTGAAGCGAAAGATTCCTTCTGTCTTTGCACCAAGTATCACATTCATCTCTGCTCAGTCCTGTTACGACCCAAAGGCCAGAACCGGCAGCCGGACATCTGGGTTGGCCAAGCATGTGGGGCTTTTTTTGTACTAGGACATTACCCACCTGGGATTCAGTTGTCTGTCGTGAACTAGGGGCCCACCCCCACAGGCCTGGTAAACTGGGATCCTCAAGGGCATGGAAGTGACCCAATCAAGGTCATACCCCTCCACCCTAACCTCCCACCTGCAACCCCACCCCTCTACTTCCCATCTCCCCACTCCCCACCCCTACCCCCATCACAAACAGAAGACATAAACACTTTGGAAGCTGAAGCACCCCCTGGGCAGAGAGCCCCCCCCCCAAGGCCCAAGCTTTCTCTAGAGGAGATGCCAGGCAAGGCTCTCCCCAGATACAACCTGAGGGTCATAGGCCAAGTTGGAGAGGTGGGCATGTCCCCAAATATCTTCTGCTCCAGAACAGAAGCCTGAAGGGGCTCCCTGGCTTATCTTGCCAGCATGGCAGCCCAATTTAATTAAGATGGATATGGCATGCTCCCGTGGGCAGGAGCCGTGGCCTGCACAGATGGCAGGAGCCTCAGACTCTCTGGGCACCGCCTGAACAAGCGCTCCCAGTGGCAGCCTGTGAAACAGCCAAGGAGGGCCAGGGAAGCCTGCAGGGCACCTGGGCGCTGGGGGGTATTGGTACTGCCACCTGTGACCTCAAGTCTTGCCACCCATTAGTCATGCATCCTCCTCTACTCTGCCCCAGCCCTCACCTCCAAACCATACAACAGACACCACACCACACACCACACACCCCCAATCACATCATCTCAAATACCAACGGAGTAGGGTAAAAACCAGGCCTGGACTTCCTATGGCAGTGGACCAGTTGAGAAACAGTCCCCTTCCCCAAAGCCCTGAGACAGGGTGTGGAAAGAGCTGCTCTGTGGGAAGGGAAGAAGTAAGGCAGGTAGGCAGGATGGGCACCTGGCCCCTGCCCTCTCTGTGGACCCCCAGGGTCCTCCGAAGGGGTGGGAAGGGTGCCCAAGGCCAGGCAGGAGCCCTCCCTCAAGCCTACAGCTTTTCAGGATGGAGGAGGTTCTAGGGGGCCCAGTCCCCCTCTTCCCACAGGCCCTTCCCAGCTCCCTGGCACAGAGCCCCCTCCACAGCCCCGCAGCTGGAGCGCAGCCCAGGAGGATGGCACCTTCCCCATCCCACCCCATCTGGCCACAGGAACAAAAAGAGATTCCCCCACGAAACCCAGAAGTTCCATGGTGACCTCAAATCCCCTGCCCAGTCCCCTCACTGTTCCCCGTGGGCCACCGACCCCCACGGGGCCAACATTGCCCTTGGCTTCAAAAATAAAAATAAAAAAATTCCCACCCCGAGATAATTGCTCGCTCCTTTTCCCCATTGTGGTGGCTCCGCGGTCGGCGCTGAGAAGCAATTATTCACAGCTAATGATTATAATCAAGTCAAATAGAATTTAATGGACACATATTCTCTTCCTGCTTGAAACTTTACATATGAATTAAGCACATATGGGTTTCAGGAGGCACAGATCAGATTTATGCTGCCCTGAAAAGCCCCCGCGTTGCCGCGACTTTTATTCCGCTGATAAACAGGCTGATTTACGGGCTCTGCCGGGCCATCGGAACCGCGATCTCTGCTGCCCCCTGGTGGGAGGCGGCCCGGGCTGCACCAGGGCCATGGGGGCCCCCACGGATGACAGAGCAGGACCCCGGGTGTGGGGCCCCATGCCAAGATCACCAAGGACCCCCGAGGTCTAACCAATGCCGAGGGGTACCCAGAGAAGACGAGGACCCTATGTGGGAGCCCGGTGTCCAGGGCCTGACAGCCATCCCCTAGTTCCAGGAGGGTTCTCGGTCCTCCCTACTGAGGCCCTTTCTAGAATAAACAGAGATCCCAGGAAAATATGACAAGAGGTGTTGGGTAAATTAAAGCAAGCAGGGGGAGGCAAAAGCTGATCATCTACAGTGATGCCCAGCATCCCCTGGCATCCTTGGGACAGGGTTGACACCCAGAGTGACAATGGTGAGTGACATCAATTCGAGTACAGACAACAGCAGCAGGTGCTGAGCATTCGGTTCATGCCAGACCCTGAGTGTCACAGCTCATGAGCACCGGTCCCTCATGACCCCGGTGACATGATGATGGGGTTTTCCACCATGTCTATCACACAGAGGAAGAAACAATCCCAGGCAGGCACGATGAGAAACGGAGTCCCGGGAGAGACATGGCAAACAGTGCCACCCCCAGCCAGCGCAGTCAAATGAAGCCAGGACAAACAGGCTTTCCTGAGAGTGTGAGAGGCTGACAGCCACTGCCCCCGGAGTCCAGCCAGTACCAGGGCACTCAGGAAGAGCCATTAATCACGCCGCAGCCCTGTGCGCAGTCTCTAGAGCCCCCACCCAGCTCCATCTGCATCCCGCTGCCACCCCGCCTTGGTCCCTGCACTCTCCCTCCTGGCCTGCCAGCCACCAACCCAGCTGGGAGAGAGCTGATAAGACACCCCACTTTTCCCTCCAGCCACTCTGCAACTCAGCAAGAAAACTACCAGCAGGGCACCTTGCACATCCTGGCTAGTGACTGACAGGGCCTCTCAGCCATGACCCCAAGCCAGCCCCTCCTGGGTGCAGGCAGCAAGAAGGCTCTTCTCCTCTGAGCCACTATGACATCTGCCAACCTGGCTTGGCTTGTCCTTAGCTCCGTGTCTCCCCAGATGGACCCCACTGCCACTCAGTATCCTAGTGGCCCAAGGGAAACACAGCAGAAACCCAAAGGTGACCTGAGCTCCCTCTGCTTGGAGTCAGAATGCCTGCCATCGTGTGGCTGGTCCCTGTGCACTGAGACAGACAAAGTGGGGGAAGGGGACGACCGCAAACATGTTCTGCAAACATCAACAGAGAGACACACAGGGCAATGCCACTACCAGAAATGCAACCCAGACCTCAAATGAGCAGGTCCACAGCAAGCCGAGTGGCCCTCTCGCCCTGGGTCCCAAGAGCCCTTTCACTTGGCAAGAACAGCAAGAGTGAAGTCATTGGCAATGCCACTCCCTGGCCAGCACTGGGGTCAGACTCAATGTGAGGGTGAGGCAAAGAGATGTGAGATGCTCCTGTGGGTGCCTGAGACTACATAGGTTGGGAGGGGGCTGGCACAGCGAAGTTTCCCAAGACAAATGAGTCTGCCAGGTCTCCGAACCTTTCTCTAAGGAGAAGGCCAGGGAGGCCTGGGATTCAGCCCCTTCTCACCCCTGTCCCATGAACCACCTGTGTACCTGCTGGACCTGACCGCCCCTTGACCCCCACTCTTCCAGACAACCAATGTCTGGAAGGACAACAGCGACCTGCCCCCTCCCCCAAGAGGGGGGAAAAGCGGCAGGCTCCACAGTGCATCACAGAAAACTGCCAGCCAGCGGGGCCACCGAGCACAGGGCCCAGGAGCCTCTGTACCCACCCTCCCCCAATGCGCCCCCTCACTGCCCCGGGTCTGAAGGAGGCAGAGGAAGGAAAGCAGAGGTCAGGGGCTGTGCAGCCCCAAGAACAGACCCCCCTTCCGGCTTCTGCCTTCCTGGCAGCTCAGCACAGTTCCAGCCTAGCTCTCTCTCTTCCTGGCTGCTGATGGGTCTCAAAGCTGTGAGGCAGCTCAGCCAAGGTGCCCCAGACTCAGCAGGTCAGGGTTTCAAGGGAAGAGGCGTCCACGCAGCCAGCACACTGGGCTCCCGTGGCGCCAGCAGGCCATCCTCATCCAGCCACCCAAGGCTTGCTGGAGCCAGGTGGCGCCCACCAGGCCTGGCACGGTGGGCCAGAGCAAAGGTGACGAGGCGGCCTCCCAATTCTCACCTCAGGCCAGCCAAATGACCCCGCTCACCGGCATTGATGATGGCATCCACCTCCAGCTTGGTGATATCGCCTCGGAAGAGGGAAATTTTCTCATTGAGTTGCTTGTCCTTCTTATACGGGGGCTCCTCTCCCTTCACAGTCACTCCTGGAACAAGCAGAGGCCAAGGGGTGGGTCACAGAGAGGCCCCCACTACAGAGTGACCCACCAGCGCCCACAGGCCAGGCACACCTCTATCACCCCCTCCCACCTCCAGGGCAGCCCACCGCGCAGTGACTGGTGCCACGGGTAATGACAGCCCACACTGATCAAGCACCTACCATGTGAACCACACACTTGGTCTCCTTGAAGCTTCACAACCACCTTACACACAAGTACAGCATTCATGTCATCCACCCCCATTTTACAGATGTGGAAACTGAGGCCCAGGCAGGTTAAGTGGCTTGCCTTGGGTTACTGTGACTGAACTGACCCCCCTACCTCTGCGCATATTCTGTTGCTTTTTGAGTTCCTAGACTATGACCTTTGCTGTTTGCAATTTACCAGTCCTGAGTGCTTACGAGCATGTCCCCCTGCAGCCACCACCACGCCATGGCTTCAAATCCTACCTCCCAACCACGTGTCAGGAGTCTGGGGATCTGTTTCCCAACAGTATAATGGGAATAAAAGTTGAACCACTACATGTAAGAGAATGAAACTGGATCACTGTCTAACCCCATACACAAAAGTAAACTCATAATGGATCAAAGACCTCAATGTAAGTCATGAAACCATAAAACTCTTAGAAAAAAACATAGGCAAAAATCTCTTGGACATAAACACGAGCGACTTCTTCATGAACATATCTCCCCAGGCAAGGGAAAGAAAAGCAAAAATGAACAAGTGGGACTATATCAAGCTGAAAAGCTTCTGTACAGCAAAGGACACCATCAACAGAACAAAAAGACATCCTACAATATGGGAGAATATATTCATAAATGACAGATCCGATAAAGGGTTGACATCCAAAATATATAAAGAGCTCATGCACCTCAACAAACAAAAAGCAAATAATCCAATAAAAAAATGGTCAGAGGAGCTGAACAGACAGTTCTCCAAAGAAGAAATTCAGATGGCCAACAGACACATGAAAAGATGCTCCACATCACTAGTCATCAGAGAAATGCAAATTAAAACCACAATGAGATATCACCTAACACCAGTAAGGATCGCCACCATCCAAAAGACAAACAACAAATGTTGGCGAGGTTGTGGAGAAAGGGGGACCCTCCTACACTGCTGGTGGGAATGTAAACTAGTTCAACTATTGTGGAAAGCAGTATGGAGGTTCCTCAAAAAACTCAAAATAGAAATACCATTTGACCCAGGAATCCCACTTCTAGGGATTTACCCTAAGAATGCAGCAGCCCAGTTTAAAAAAGACAGATGCACCCCTATGTTTATCGCAGCACTATTTACAATAGCCAAGATATGGAAGCAACCTAAGTGTCCATCAGTAGATGAATGGATAAAGAAGAGGTGGTACATATACACAGTGGAATATTATTCAGCCATAAGAAAGGAACAAAACCTACCATTTGCAACAACATGGATGGAGCTGGAGGACATTATGCTCAGTGAAATAAGCCAGGCAGAGAAAGACAAGTGCCAAATGATTTCACTCATATGTGGAGTATAAGAACAAAGAAAAACTGAAGGAGCAAAACAGCAGCAGACTCACAGAACCCAAGAATGGACTAACAGTTACCAAAGGGAAAGGGACTGGGGAGGATGGCTGGGAAGGGAGGGATAAGGGGGTGGGGGGAGAAAGAAAGGGGGCATTATGATAAGCATGTATAATGGGGGGGCACAGGGAGGGCTGTGCAACACAGAGAAGACAAGTAGTGATTCTATAACATCTTACTACGCTGATGGACAATGACTGCAATGGGGAATGTGGGGGGAACTTGGTGATGGGGGGAGTCTAGTAAACATAATGTTCCTCATGTAAATGTAGAGTAATGATACCAAAAAAAAAAAAAATTTGAACCTGCCTCAGGCTGTGTTAATTAAATGAGGTGATGCATGCAAAGAGCCCAGCACACAGCAAGCACTCAATAAATGCTGCTGCCCCTCTCCTTGGCATTGTCAACAGGAACCTACCAAACGGGTAGCAGGGCCTCCCAGCACAGGGCCTACCTTTTGCCATCTCTTTCCACGTCGGGATCTTCTTCAGCCTGATGAAGTCACGGCAGAAGTAATGTTCCTCCCGCTGCTTGTCACTCAGGCCCTTCAGAAACACTGCAGATGATGGGGGGAGGGGGCAGGCAGGAAGGAGCGTCAAGGTGGGCAAGGAGAGGAGCAGTCCTGGGGGCTTCCCGCACCCCCAGGCCTTCCCTCCTCAGGGGATCCTTGCCTCATCTGAGCATGCAAACCAGCCCTACACACCCTTCCTTCCCATAGGCACACAAAGAGGGGCACTGAGGGTGGGGCCGCTGTGCCACCTTGGGTGGTAGAGCCTGGAGGTCCCTAGAACATCTTGCCCTGCCCTCTTTGTTCAGGAGGAGAAACTGAGGCCCAGAGAGGCAGAGGGCATCTCTCAGAGTGCACAGACCTGAGTTCAGAATTCAACTCTGCCACTCTGCAGCCACGTCCACACCTCTGGGTGCTTAATTTCTTCTTTTAGAAAGGGGATTAAGACGCTCCTTGTGGAATAATTTCAACTTTACTCAGGCATGCAAGGCCCAGCAGGTTGGTGGCACTGAATCAGTGACATTGTTAATCAATGAAATCATCAGCGTGTTGCATCACCACTGTCATTATTTGCTGTTAGCAGGACACGGGGAGCCAGGACAACCATCCTCAAAGAGCCACAGAACCAAGCAGTGTGGTGCCTGTTGGAAACATCCCCCCACATTGCCAGAGGGCTTCCCACAGACAGAGGTCCAGCTTGGACCCAAGGGAGCAGCTGGGATTGTCCCCATTTTAGAGGAGGAAATGGGACCTCAGGGGTTAGGAGGCTACCCACAGTCACGTAGCAGGTGAGTAGGGAGCCAGCCCTCCCCACTCCAGGCTCACAGTTTGAAGGTTCCTCCTGCTGGCCTGAAGCCACCTGGGCACCCAGGCTCCCCAGCTGAAGCAGCCCCCACTGACCACTGGTGCAGGGCTGAGCAGGGTTGGGGTAGGAGAGGACTCCAAACAGCAAAGGCCACAGTCTAGGAGCTCAAAAAGCATCTGAATATGTGCAGGGGTGGAAGGGCAATTAGAGAAGGTGGTGGGAGAGCAGGGGGTTGCCTCCAGAGCCTTCTACGGAAATGGCTGCAAGAGGCAGGAATTCAAGAAACAGGTGGCCCTTGCCCTGCCAAAGTCAGTCCATCCAAGCTTCCACACCTCAAGGATGCATGAGGGGCACAGAAGGGCCCAGTTCAAGGTCCAGCTCAATACTAAGTTGGGATCATTACAAAAGTCTCTGCCGCAGCCGTGGCTCCGGCCAGAACCACACTTTAGCAGCCACTTCCCACCCCCTCCCACAGGCATTAGACACACAGGGCCTGCATTCAGTCCTGGGGATACAGCACCCTAAAGGGCAGACGTGGGCCTGGCCCTCGGGAACCTACAGTCCAGCAGAGGAGATGGAGGCTGGCCAGGCTGCACAGTCAAGCAAGCAATCCGAATTCTGAGAAGTGCTAAGGGACAGTCAGGGGCTAGAAGAGGGGGTAACCAGAAGCCCATTCCAGGGGGCTTCCATGAGGCTCAGGAGCTGGAGTAGCCAGGGCAGGGAAGGGTGTTCTGCCAGCTGGAACAGCACATTCAAGGTCCCAGGTGAGTGAAATTCAGGGTGTGTGTTGGGTGGGGGGCAAGTACAAGGGGGGATGATGCTGAGAGGAGGCAAGGCCGCCTGTGGAACCACCAGGCCAGCTCAGCACCGATGGAACCCCGGGGGCTCCTTAATGAGATTACAGATGCTTTCACCAGACGCATTAGCATATCAAGAACCCTCCTGCCCCAGCCCCAGCCCCAGTCCTGCCACTTTCTTTATTTCTAAGATACTTTCTGAGTATCTACCACGGATGGTACCCAGCTTGGAGAGTTCCCTCTGTCACTGGCTCCCCTCAATGCTCACAGCTCATTTCCCTGCCCCCCTTCTCAAGGGGCTGCCTCCCCACTGGGCATATGATCTGAGCAACGGGACAAGGGCTCCCACTTCAATGCTCCTGTCTTTGGGCACTGGCAGGTGTGGGAGTGGGTGTTGGCATTTGAAAGAGTGGCAGTGCTTCTCCAAGCCTCAGTTGTCCTCTTCTGTAAAACGGGGTCACAGAAAACTCCCTCCTGTGTTAAATGAGAGGCAGAACAGGCTTAGCTGAGTACCTGGCAAAGCCCTCAGCTGCTGACAGACGGCACCTCGGAGCGAAGAACAGCCTGTGGCGGAGACGTCGGGCTCCGTCCACGCTCTGCTCTCCCTGCCATTCAAGTGCAGGTCAGACAGTTTATGAATATTTACTGAGCACCCCACGTACCAAGCCTGGGGGTGGGAGGCAAGGGGAAGCCCAGAGGCCTGACCTAGCACAGCAGAGGGGAGGTGGGGACAGCTTCCTGGACAAGGAACCTCCAATTTCTCTGGTCTGTCCCAGGAGCTGCCAATTGCCAGAGAAAATCCCAGCCAAACGGAAGGTCTACATTCCTGATCTCCTCCTGGCAGCCTGTCTGCCTGGCCATTCCAGTTGCTGCTTTGGAAATGGGTCCCCCCTTCTCCTCTCTCTCATCCATCCCCTGCTAGATGGAATGCTACCTCCTCCTCCCGTCGGCCAGCCAGGAACCCCCGCCAGCTGCCCACACCTCATCTTTCCTCCCCCAGGTCACTGGGCACAAAGGGCCTTCTTCCCAGCCAAGGCCACCTCACCCCACAGAGAACACACTACTGCAGCCCCCTTGCCCCATCCTGTCTACCCTCAAACACAGTCTTGTGTCCCCCTTTTAAAGTTAACCTTCCCTTAAACTCCGTTCCCTGCTCCACAGCCACAGCCCTTCTGTCTCCCCCTCTAGTATCCCCACCGACTGGCCCCCTGCCTGCACTTCTCCCTCTCACAGTCCCCCAGGCCTAGCCTGCCGGCCCCTCCTGTCCTTCAAGACCAAGGTCATTGGTATTACATGCTGATGCACTGGCCCCTCCTGTCCTTCTATGGCCTATGCACTCTGCACCCCCAGCCCCTTCTCCCTGCTCAGGAATCTTCTCCTGGATCTCACTGGCTTCCCGGCCCTTCTTCTCAGCCTCCTTGCTGACCCCTTTTCTTAACTCCATCTCACCTAGGGTTTCACATCAATCCCATGCATTCAAGACCCTCTTTGTGTTAAGGAGCCTGAGGCTGCACCAGCAACCCTCATCCCCAAACCCCCAGGGGCACCACCCGCCCTCATCCCCAAACTCCCAGGGGCACTGCCAGCCCTCATCCCCAAACCCCCAGGTGCACTGCCTGCTCTCATCCCCAAACTCCACGTATACAAAACTGCACATTTTCTCCCCAAAACGTGGGTTTCTCACTCCTCCATTCCTCCCTGTTCTCAGCAAATGCCCCCAGACTTTGCTGGAACCCCAAACCAGAGGTCTCTCTCTCCTTTCTCCCACTCCCCTTTCCATCCACCTGAAGGTTATTAGACTTATCCCCATAATGCCCCAGAAACCAAGCCTCCAGCATTGCTCCCTAAGCTTCTTCAAAAGCCCCCTACTCCCAGCTGACTCCTGGGTTCACCAGGAGTATCATCTGTTCTTCACACAGCAGCCCAGCATTAGGAATGTAAGTCAGAAGCTGTGTCTGTTTAAAGCTCAGTTCAAAGTCCAAGGCCTCACCAAGGCCCACTGGGCGGCCCCACGTCTCTCCCTAACCTCCTTGGTGTTCTCTCCCCACTTGACTCAGCCCCCTGCACCTCAGCAGGCCACACACATCCCCTTTCAGGTCCTCCAACAGCCAGCTGCTGCCGGCCTCAGGACCTTTATACCCACTGTGCCCCTGACTGGTCTTCCTTTACAGGTGCTCCTCACTGTCCTTCCTTCTTTCAGCACAGCTCCCTCCCCTACCAACTATGCTTTATTCCTTGCTTGACCTTGGCCACATGGGGACCCATGTTTACATCGGATTCCCACTACCTGCAGAGAGTGTGGCGTGTGTGAGCATCCACAGGATGAATCAATGAGCAAATACGCTGACGCCTGAAAGCTGAAGGCAACTTTGCTAAGAAAACAGTCTTCTAGGCAAAGGGAACAGCACGTGCCAAAGCCCTGAGGCAGGGGAGAGCATTTGGGTGGAGAAATCTACACGAGCCGGACAGAGAACAGAAGCAAGGCTGTGGCAGCCACCCTGGCTGAGGAACAGAGAGACAGCGGAGGGAATGCGCTGGCCCAGGTCCTGGCTGCTGCTGCGGTTTTGGTTCCTTTCTTGCTCCTCGTTGCTACGAGGTTTGGGCTCCTGGCTTCCTGACATCATGCTCAGGAGCAAGCCACTCACCCTCTCTGAGCCTCAGTTCCCTCAGCCCTGAAATAGACAGAAGGCAGGCCCTTCCTGGGGCCCAGGCTTGCTGTGAAGAAGGGGCCCCCAAAATATCTCCTGCACATCAGATACTCTCGCTCTCCTGTTAGTGAAATAACAAGACTCAAAGAGAGCAAACCAAAACAAGACCAAATTCGGGAGAGGAAATGCTTTTTTCCCAACTTGGTGGCACAGTAGGTAGAAGAGCCTTTTAAATTTTAGAGGTCCCTATATTTATCACCTTGCACAGTTGTGACCAAAGACATACCCCCTCTGAGGCCTTGGCCTGCCCACATGTGGGTACTCGGGCCAGAGAGCCGGTGTGCCCACTGGGATCCTGGAGGCGCCGGCCAGCCAGGACCCAGACCCTCCCCACCGGACTCCCATGTGCTGAGTCCCTCTGGCTGGGGAGACCCCGGCACCCCATGGAACCAGTCTGGAGAGCCCAGAGATGCCTCAGGTCCCCAGCAGACACCATCTGGCAGATGCCCCACCTTGTTTTACAGAAGAAACAGTGATCTTCCGTGACCACAGGCAAGCCAGGGGGGACCCAGCCCAAGGCTCTCTCCTGCACCGGCCTCCCCAGTATCCAAGGCGTACTCTGAGTGCACAGCCTGCACTGCATGGCCCCCTTTCCAGCAAAATCCAAAAGACAGCTCCATTTCCCAGAGATGGCAAAGGAAGACAGCCAGAGCTACCAGCTCTGCCACCAGCTGACTGGGTGATGACCTTGGGGACGTCTGTCAGCCTGTCCCTTCCAGTCCATGGTCCCCAAGCACA